ATGATTTAGGTGCAGTTGTCACTTGGAGAAACACTATTGCCTTAGGTTGGGTTTTCCCCAAAGAAAATCCTGATGAGGAGATTCAGGAGCAAATGATTCAGTCAGGAAGTACTCCCAGGAGAAACCTGTTAGGGAACAAGAGGAGGAGGGAAGGGAAGGGGAGGGAGCCAGGCAGAGTCTTGTGGAGGGTAGCTGCAGCCCGCTCCCACAGGGGCGCTCAGGCTGTGAGTAACCCCTCAGAGCTGTCCCTTCTCCCCCCTGGGGAGGTAGTTGGGCTTTCACTCTCCTGCACTAATAGCCAGATGGGGGAGACCTAAACTCCCAGGCACGTCCACGTGGGCAAAATGATTCCAGTAGCTTGTGGGAAGTCCTCTGAAGGCACAGGTGCGGGCTTTGGAAGCAAAAACACGCTGATGCTGGGGGAGGAGCACTCGGGAATGGTTAAAGGGATCAGAGAGGATTTGAGTGGAGCCCTATAGTGTCGGCTCAAACAACTGAAGGGATTTTCTGTTTACAGCAGGAGTATCTCCGTGGTCTTAATGACCATCACTCTTCATTGTAATTACTTGCCTGTTACTTGTTTTCTTATAGAATAAAACTTGGAGCAGGCAGAGACCACGTCTGCCTTATTGGTAGCTGTAGCCTCAGTGGTTACCACAGACATTCACTGAATGAATATAAAATGATTTGCCACATAATATCGGGGTATATGTTTAGTCCAGGTAGCTTTTTCTGGAGAGGGTGATGGTGTCTTTCATTTGAGTTTAGGGCATCCAGCTTATACCACCAGGAAATAACTTTATTCCAGTTTAAGACAGTGTCATTCTTAATTTTATTCATTAATTCAGTAATAACTTAAATGCTTAAACAGTCTTAGCTACAGAAGGAGGCTGAACCCTGAATTGCCTAAATTAACCCTGTGCCATGCCAACCTCTGTGTTGTAATCATGCTAATATTTTTCTAGTGTTTCCTCTTTCATATCAGTGTCTTGTGGAAATTATGTGGGAGCCCAACAACCTGAGAATGTTTAATACAACTATTAAGTCCAATACTTCAAGGTCACTGAAGTTTTCACTGATATCTGAGAATCAAATTTGTCTAACACCAACCCCACCCTTGTACATTTTTTAAAAATGTTTCTGAATTTATAAAAAAGATTTATCAGTTATATACTCAAAGTCTATCTGCATTATAATAAAAATATAGAATTATTTCATCAGTAATTTTCATAATATGAGAAATACTCATACTGATGATTGGCTGCCAAAGCCCATCCCCGTCTGCTTCTCCTTTGCCCACCTTCAAAGAAAAGGGAGGAAAAGGCAGATACCTACATCCCCAGCTTCTCTTGCAGGTGAGAGTTGCCATGTGACTGTTCTAGCCAGTGAGATGGGGAAAGGGGATTTTCTTTCCCTAATAACAGGTGGGGGAGGGAGCAAAGCAGCCTTGCCTACCCTTACTGCCTTCCTGATTCCTGCCTTTGAATGCACTTTGATGTTGGAAATTGTGGTGATCATCTTGTGATGATGAAGCAACAAGCCTGAGAATGAGGAGCTAACATGTCAAGGGTGGCAGAGAGGAAAGAATGAACCTAGGTCACTGATGACACTGTTGAGTAGCTCATCCAATGTTAGTAACCACCCACCTCCAGACTCTCTGCTGTCTGAGAAAGGTAAATCCCCCCATTTGTTTAAACCACTGTTATGGAGTATTCAATTATTAACAGCTGAACACAATCTAACTGCTGCAACTAGTTACTTTAACATTTTCTCCACGGAAATGAAAACAGAACTAAATTATTGACACCTGATCATTTATACTTGCACTTATTTGCTGGAATATTGGGCTTTTGGAAGAAAGCCAGATAATAATTAACTTCATTTATAAGGCTTGGTCATTTTAGTTGTAGAAAGCAGAGAGGGGCTACCTCTAGCCACAATGCATAGTCTAAGTTCTGAGGGATGAGTATTACAGAGAACTTCTGTATCACTAAATAGCACACCGGGAGCTGGGAGATCTAAGTTCAAATGAGATGTTCAGCTAAACATGTGACCATGGGCATATTTTTGTCTCTAAACTTGTTTTCTCATCTGTTGTACTATTTGTAGGATGCTTTCTTTGAAAGTAACAGAAAACCCAACTCAAAATGGCTTAAGCAGTAAGGGAATCCATTGCCTTACGTGACCAGAAAGTGTAGAGAGTTGGCTAAACAAGAGATTGACAATGTCATTGAGAACATCTCCACCTTACTGCCCCCAGTTCCATCTTTATCTTAGGTCTGACTACCTTCATGGGTACAAGATGTCTGTTGGCAGCAATTGAGGGTGTGTACCTCTTTATTCAAAGCCAGTGTGATGGTTGTGGGATGGGGTGTGGGGAAAGAGTGTTTCCCATCCATGGGGGGAAAAGTCCTAAGCCTTGTGCTGATTGGAAGACCTGGAGCCATTCAAGGCTAGTGACCAGGGAATGCCAAGAGCTGATTAAGTTAGGCCAATAATGGTGGCTTCCCCCACATCTGTAAATGACAGAGCAGGACTGGCTGACCTCTAAGGCTCTTTCCGAATCTAAACCTATTGTGATTCCATGAGCAGAGTGCAAACCTATCTCTGTAATCGTCTTTTTTACTCCACTCCATTTTCTTTTGTCTCATTTTATCATGGTGCTTTTCTATGTCTGAGCATAGGCCCCTGTGCAAGATAACAAACCCCAAAATGAAGTCAACAAGCCTTGGCATAGCTCAGACCTGGGCTGGGAAAAGGAAGTTTAAGTTGACAAGGTGAGGATCGCTGTGTACTTCAGGGCAGAATGGAGTGACATCTTATTCATTGGGTACTATGTGGATATGCCAATTGCCAGTGAGTGATGTGGAACTGTGGGACCCTCAGTGGAGGTGATGAAGCTCCCTTCTCTAGAGAATGCCCGAGCCCTTTGGAAAAGGAGGAAAACCTTTTCATACAATTACGTTTTCCCTCTAATTTGCATTTTTTTTATAAAAGGTCTAGTTCTCAAATCTTTAACACAGGCAAACCTCCCAGCCTCTTAAGGGAGTGGTCAAGCGTTTGCACAAAACGTTTCTGAAGAGAAAATATGCTGTGTGGGTCTCCACCCCCTCACACACTTTGGTAAATACTATCCTTTTTTTTCTTTTTCCTTTCTTTCTCTTCTTCTTTTTTTAAATTACTGTACTGAGAATTTTACCAGATGATTTCTAGAAGCTGACTTATGAACTAATTGGGCACTTCTGCTGTGCAGAGGAACAAAGACTTTTTTTTATTGGTCCTCAACTGAGGCATATACCTGTCTGATGGCGTTGGCTTATTCCGCACATGCTCAGTTGAATAGAAATCTTCATATTGAATACAACCTAGCACAGCGGCAACACCCATAACCTCACTCCCTGGCTGACCCTGTACATCCACTCCCTCTAGTTGCATGTTTATCCTGACAAGGGTAACATTTACAGAGAGTAAAAGGAGCAGAGTAGGTACTGGGGGCTTGGGAGAGGGCACTATACAAAGGAGTTTAAAGTCTCTGGATGTACCTGCCTTCCTGACCTCCCTCTAGGCTGTCTCTAGTGGGGAGCAGGCGCTGGCTAGATATTTGAGTTTGGGGCAGAATGCAGGAGAAGCTGTCTCTATAAATTGCCATTTGTTGTTGCACACCTTCCTGGACGGTTTTTGTTTGGTCCTTTTCTTGTACGTGGACGACCCTTCTTCCCCAGCCCTCGTTTTCATTAAGCTGTGACAGTGGCACTAAAAGCATCCGCCGCCTAGCAGGGATTCTTGCTGTTCTCGCTTTCCCATTCATTAGGACCCTTTCCCAGCCTCCTTCCCCAGCAAAAACTGGGAAGGGCTTTGCCCGGTTACAAAAGGAGGGAGCGGCCGGGCTTCCGAGCCTCTCGCCTCAGAGAGCCAAGAACGTGCGTTCGGTCTCGGTCCTTTTGTCCCCGACCCCTTCCGCGGCTTGGTCGCGGGAGTGACGACCCCGACCCGCCCCCACCTAAGCAGTAGTCACCCGCGCGCCCCAATCCCCCTCCCCTTCTAGATTCCTGGCGCCCGCCTGTTCGCCGTGACGTGGCCCGCGGCGCGCGCATGCGTCGCTCAGCCCCGCTCCCTTTCCCTCGGCCACCGCCTCCCGACGGGCTGGAGTGGGCGGGGCCTGTGGTTCTGGAAGCCCCGCGGACGGAGGGGGAGGAGGGCGTGTGTGCGCGAGGCGGGTGCGCGGGGCTGCGAGCCGGTCGGCGGCCGAGGCGAAGGAGGAGGAGGAGCTGAAGGCGGCGGCTGC